TTCTTTACCGTGTAATCTTTGCTTTGGCTTATATTTGAATTACTATGTGGAATTCCTCTCTTACCTTTATATAGCAATCCTTACGCCATCTAGATGTTCACATTATAACCCGATCCTTTATTTGCGATATAGTTTTCTTTTAAAAAACCTTTTGTCTAGTGTTCTGTTGATTGGCGCGGTTGTATCTTCTCCCACTCACTGTCGACGCGCGCAGTCCTTGTTGAAGAACTCGACTCGATTCGATCTTGACTTGTATTTGAACTACACGCCATTACACTTACTTGACATATTCGTCTACCTTTCTTGGGATTAATTAGTGGTGTGGTACTAAGATTAGTGAAGTTTTCTCTTATCATCTTACTTCCAATTTCGCTGATGACGCATTGCTGCGGATTTATCTTACAAGTTTAAGGCCGTTTTGCGGTATGTTATCTATGACGCATTATCTTTTTATTTTAAATAATCTATTTTAGGCTACTTTCGTACTCCCTAAGTTTTCTTACTTCTTATTTTGGTTTTACCAATTGCTTCCTGACTGTACATTGATATTTTGACGTGGAAACGCGAATACCCGATTTTCCATATGGTGCAATAGAATTCCATTGAAGTTTCGACGCCATTACAATCAAAAACACTCTACATATTTCTACCTTACCGACTGAAGAATTACCGCCATTTCATGTGAAACCGATATTTGAACTGATGACCCAATTTTACGAAGTTCGTTGACCTACGATTCATTCTTCCGAAACGCAAGTACTTAATTAACGAGACGTGTGGAGTTGATACTGTGTAAATTTTTAATTAACGTTATGTATTTTGTTTTGAAGAACTTGCTCGTGTAAGTTTGTTTTCATTTGAATTGATAAGATTGCTTTGTCATTGAAGATAGATTCAATTATTTTATTTGTACATTTTATAGTATTTTTCTTTTAAAACTTCATGTCACTTTTTGATATCTCACACCGATTGTGAAAAGCAACCCTTAGTCGAACCAAATTTTGTTTTGTTGTAAAGTCATTTGAATTTTTGATTCGTTTTAGTATTGATTGCAATTCTACGTACAAGAATAATCATTCGCGTCTTACGTTAACCATTGCTTATGCGATATATTGTGCAACGCGAATCATTACCCTTCTTATATTTTTTTTGTTTTTGTGTCTGACTGTTTCAGATTTGCAGTTTCGCGTCCTCTGAGCTCGGAAGGTTGCGACCGGAGTTCAAGGTAAATTTAGTTATTTTCGTCGTTTTTCCCTTTTAACGTTTGATTACATGTTGGTTGTTGATACTAACGAGTTGTGATTATTACTTTGTTTGAAAGTCACTTAATGATTATAGCTCCGTTGTTTCTGCGGAAGCCCTTTTGGATAAATATTTTCCCAGGCTACGTGTTGGCTTCTCATTTATTTTATTAGAGATTATGTTAAATTCCCAGTTTGATATACTAGATCGATATATTACAGTGTCAGATTTGTGATATTTTGAGATCTTTGTTATTAAACTACCCGCATTTATACATCAAATACTGTTTGTTTTCCCCATAATTGTGTATTCCTTTGAGTTTAGTAAGACGAGAACAAGAATCTCTTGGTCTGCCTTGTTCATCCCTTTAGTATTCCTCTCTCTCTAAATTCATCAAAGACTAAGTGGCGCCTATCCGGATTACTTTTACTGTTTCCTTCCCTTTTTGGCTTATTTGTGTGTGTGTGTGTATAGAAGAACCCCATTTTCACCCCGACCCACCTCTACTTTGCCTGAGCTTACCGTGTGCTTATCTAAGGTAATTTTGTCACGTTGGCCCTAAGTGAACGTAACAAGTATCTGCAGTATACAGAACAAAAAAAACCATGTTTTGAAAAATATTACAAAAAGTGGCGGACTGGCGGTACTCATTCCATAATCCTCCGCCCCCCCCCCTCGCCTGGCCATCAAATGTGAATGTTCAATTGAAATAGCATGTTACAATATTTTGAGCGGAGCGTGACCTGAGCTATAGTGTGAATTGGGTTTACCGTACTTACACTATATTGTGTTTGACATTTCGCATGTCACTTTTTGTCCCGTGACACTTTAATCCCTTAAATGAGTGACAAAACACGTTGATGTAGTCACAACCATCTATATTTACAAGCCGAACTGAGAATTATGGCAACACTGCAGCGAGCGCCGATTTTCTAATTCAACTTGGCAGATTTCAGGTGTATTTTATATGTTTTGTGTCATTAGAACCACCTCCAATTTTATCAACCAGAAGAAGTAGGAGAAAAGGAAAATTAGTAACAACCGTTAAAAAAGCTTGCTTTTCCCAAGCCTGCGAGTACCTCGCGCCGCGCCGAGTTCGCATTTGTAACTCAATACGCCTAGTTAAAACGATTGTATATGAGCTAAATTCTTATCGCCCCTGCATCCGGAATCTATTAACCAACAAAGCTCCATTAAATTGACATGACACAGAAAAAATGTCATTTACACAACGGTTTAAAAATCTCATTATGAAAATTCCACTTTACTTATGGGCGAAAAAATCAACCTTCCAATTTTTGACACCCTAAAGATTGCTTATGATCTTAGATCATACATCTAAGCTTATGATATGAAATGCCCAAAAGTACTCTACCCTTAAATTGTGTTCAAGTATAACGAACTTTCCCTGTATTTTATTTGTCTCATGTTATTCTAGAATGAGTAACATAAACAGGTAAGTTGAACTCAATGCTAACGGTAGAATGTAGTAGTCCTCCAGTAATTCTTTGGTTAGAATAAACAATGGTAGTATGCGATCAAAAATGAATTGCTGTCGAGTCGCCTTTGGAATCTTTGTTTACATGGGAAATCGGCTCGACAACAACGCGTTATTAGGTAGGTAACCAAAGTAAAGTTTCCTTATAAATTAAATTTTTTGCAGCTGTATGCTTGAGATTTGAAAATGTATCAACAGAATTGCATTTATTTGTAATAAACATGGATAGAGAGTATTTCGATTCATTTTGAAAGACCGCCTTTTCGGTTCTTTGCATATGATAGGCGATAATGCACTTATTTAATTTAAATAGAGGTTTTTTAATCTTGTTCCTTGGTAAAATTGATCATTGCAAAACAACCAACGCGCTAGTATACATACAAACTCCGTGTTTTAAATATTTAGTAGATAAACGTAGACCATTCATTTGGTGTACAAACGAAAAGTTTCATCATTACACATTACGGCCAGTGCCAGACCTGAACCAATTGTTATTCCGCTACAATAGGTACCATCCAACTTGTAACAATTTTCAGCATGTCAATACTTTTTAGTTTTATTCGAGCGTTAGCTTGAGTTCAACTTTAAAATTGCAGATACGATTTTTACGTGTCGGACTTACTTATTAGATTTTAAAAAACAAATTAAATGCAAACAGTCTCGTACTTGAATCACGTCTTGAACTAATAAGTCAATCTAAAATGTGTTGCAAGATAAATGAACGAAATTAAATTCATAAATCCTTTGTAAGAAAATGCCACGTGTGCGTTTGATTATTTTGTCAACTATCAGAGTTTCGGTGTCGATATCTCGCTTGACTTTTAACTACAATACACGATAATCTCAGATTATAAACATACTTTTTTAAAAAAAGACGGTAATGAAAACGAATTGTACTTCGTATCTGGCAATAGTATATTGGAAGACAAGTGTTACAATGTGACCTATTGTAATACGACTATCTTCTGGCATGAGTGGCGTAGCGAAGCGGAGCCACGAGTGTCCACAAGATAGGAGTATTACAATAAAGCATTGTAACACGTGTTTTTCATACTATTTTTTCTATTTCGGGGCTTTAATTTAATAAAAAAGTAATTATCAAAAACTACAGGAAACTTTAGAATTAATATGTCTTAAGTTGGCAACACCATTTACGTTGACAAATTTTGAGTTGGTAGCGTAAATAAACACAACACTGACATTTGGAAACTTGAAATTCCGTGAATGTGTAATTTTTTACTCGTAGATAAATTTATTTATGGTGGATGTGTAAACTGCTGATTTGGATTGTATTAAGTTCTTCGTGTACCAAAAATCAAGGAAAACGCATACATTTTACGTACGTAATTTGATTTCACATCTGATGATTTGACGTTGACGTCTTGGCGAACTGCCAACTTAGAGATGAAAAGTTACCAAAAACAATGTTACAATGGAACTCATTGAAACACTGTTTTTGCCGAAGACAGTTGCACAAAATTCTCATTGTAACACCGAAATAGAAAAAAGCTATAGTCTTCGTCTTAAAGCATGGTGAATGGTGAGGTTGTGCACATGTCGATAATTTTCGATTGAGACCGTGTGGTTTAACAGTGTTGTCGCTTGCACAATGCACATTCTGGATGTTACGTGTGAATTCGAAGCTGTTCATTGTTGGTTTTCGCATGGAATTGCATGAGAATATGTGTTGCACGAGGTTGTTTGGTACCCTCATGCGGAGAATGGTTGGATTAGAGCTAAGGTGACGCTTGACACGGTTGAGGATGACGGCTGGCGATCCTGGGATTGGATTGGATCTGTTACTGGGGTGATTGAGATTAGATTGGTTCATCACCTTTGTATTGATTTTGATAGTTGTGTGTGAGTGCCCGTTCAAGGTGTCCTATATCTTTCCGCCAATATTTTGAGTGGTCTGGTGTCGGAATGGATGACAATGAGCAGTTTTGGGTTTGCTGCACGTGATGGTTGGGACGTCGAAAATGAGACTGTTGCTTCTTCCATTTCGTAAAAAGCAATAATCCAAACTTAGCCAACAAGGTCTTCAATTTGCTCTGTCTATAGGCTAACTCAAATGAACGAAGTAGAAAATAAAAATCTATAGAAAACACAATGCAAGATCTGAGATCCTGACGCTAATATCTAGAAGTCTGCGTCATGGAAAAAGGGGCATTGACATTGACCATAGAGGATTGAATTTTCCTCTATGCTTCTACTGAAACAACATACTTAAAGAGGTATAAGTATGCGCAGTTTACCAGCGCTCGAAAAAAAATCTTTTATTTCTCTCGTTAAAAATGTACTGAAAATCAGTTCTGCGTGCAATTGACAGTCTTGGTAATAAACCAAAAAAGTGCGAATTCTGTATCAACGTGTTAAATAAAGATATCAGACTGTTAAGCGATTACACCCTCATCATCCGACAGTTCTTTGTGTACCTCTTCTGCTGTTCTTAGAAGATCATTTAAGTCCAAGTCGAGGATCGCGCACTTGAATAACGATGTAATGTAAATTTCCGCAATTGAATGATACTTGAAAAGTGTTAATTGTCCACTACGAGTTTGTCGTGCTAAAATATAGTTAAATAAGTTATGTACTAACTACAATAATGAAACTGTTACCGATTTCCTTACATTCAATTGTCCTCAAAACCATTCGGTCACTATCTTCATTCTCTTCTTTTGTAGCGTAGGTGAGGGTGGTGTTTGTATCAGATATTGATATGTTAGTAGTGGAAGTATCGTTTGTAACATCTGCGGTAGTGGTATTTGAATCATCTATTGCAATGGGTATATCAGTACTGAAGTTTTGAAGTGATTCCAAACTCTGGTTTTGACTTGAATTACTAAATTCTGAGCGCACATGCGAAGCAAATAAAAGTGTAGTTGTAACAAATATTAGGCAATTCATTGTTCTTTACTTATAAAAATGCTTTGTTTACTGTAGGATGAGCTGCACTGACAAGTTCTAATCGTACTTAACAACTCATCATAGCCAATCGACAATATTGCAAATTGAAGCGTTCATTAGTACATAATTAGCAGATAATCTCCTTATTATATACAAAGATAAGACATTTTTTCTATTATCACGGCTAATGAGAAAGTAGGGAAAACTAGGTTAGTCCCAGTACGAGGTCATGAATAATTAACGCGTGAAAACGAATACTTGTGCACTTATTGGGGTGATATAATGAAGGTCATGGATGGCAAAGTTATGACTGTGGGAAGATTCTCCCTGGTATAAATTCACTCCCGGAATATTCGGTTTCAAGAAAACTTGCCCCTAATTCGCGCCCAAAAGATTAGCCTCGGCAAATTCACACCCCTCAGAGTATTCGCCTCTTAAATTCGCCCATGTAGAATTAGCTCCTGCTGGAATACCCCTTCCCCAGAAACTCGCTACAAGGGAAATTCAGGTTCAGGAATTGAGGCATGGCATTCTTTTAATGAATACACACCAACAAGTAATCAGTCCACCTAAGGTCTTTTAACATACAATGGTGGTTTGACAGTATACACAGTGTTCCCATAAAAGTTTTTCTACATCAAAATTTACGGGAGTATCATTCACTTCATGTTTCTTGCATTTTGTACTGCGTTAATGAGACTTTCGATTGTAGGAATATTCGTCTCTTTGGCATATGTCGCGGCCCAGCGCGATGGCAACAAAGTAGTGGAGAAACGTCCCTGATAGTGTCTACCAGGGACGCATCCTCACGACAGTTGACTAAATCCTGGGAGAGGCGGCGACGCCAGGCATATGTCAAAGTTTCAAGTTTCAAAAGTTCTCTCCACGAAAGTCGCCCCCAGACTATTAGCCCCCAAGAAAACACGTCAACAGGTAAATTCGGCCTCCGAGATACTACACCGCTAGAATATTCGCCACTAGTAAATTCGCCACCGAAAGATTTATACCATTTTTTTGTAATCCTGAATAAAGCGCGCTAATAAATATTTATTTACACCCCTATTTTGGACAGAGGTATGGGTTAGGTTAGTTAAGTAATTCTGCACTCTGGTTTCTCTTCAATTGCGAATAAATCTTTCGCTGTTCGATACAGTGTGTGAATTTTTATATTTGGCGATTTTTTATACCAGAAGGCAGAGTTGGCGCTGCTTTTACCCCACACCCGCCGCATAAACGGCCGACAAGCTCAGGGTTAGGAAATAAAACAAAAGCGTGAGGATCTCCACAGGGATAGTTCGTTCTGGGCATATAATCTTCCGTGCTTCGTTACCACTTACCAATACGGTTGAGCACCACTCAATTTCTATCTTAATTCTCCTCGTATGAAATTGAGAAGATACGAGGGTAGTAATAAGTAAAAGTAAAAAGTAAAGTAAAATCAATTTAGGTACCAAAATAAATTATTCAATCAACAAAAGCCAAAATAAACTTGACCCCAAAATTGGATATCCCACAATTACAAAATATTCCCCCAACTATTCAAAATTATGCATTACGTGACTCAAAACTCCAGGCCCTAGAGCTCAAAACAGGGGTCCACCTTGCAAATTTCTGAGACAACGAACCAAGATGCAGGGTTTATGTTTTTTGGGTCGCTGAATCCGAATTTGACATTTGCACAAAAATCCGCATGACGCGGGAGCCGCCATCTTGGAAAAATGGCGGTAAATCGGTGGTTTTTCCACAAAACCCGAAATAACTCATTTGATTTCGGTTTTTTGACGAAAAAACTTCAGTAATAAATTAAAGTACATAAAATTTCCTTTCAGATGAGCTCTTGTTGATAAAAATCTGATAAAAACTAACGCTACTACAGTGCGACGAAATTCGGCCCAAAAATGAAGTATTCGCAATTTTCAATATTTCGCGCGCAAAAAAAAAACGGAACTGACGTCATTCACAAGCAGTAAACTCTCTGAACGCGAGGAGCTCTTGAAGAACATCCAATTACCTTTAAAATGAGCCCAAGTTTGTTTAAATCGAACGAAAATTGACATCGCAACATCGTATCAAAGTTTTTTCGATAAAATCGAAAATTTGCTGAATTTTGCAGTCCTCCACTTTAATCGCCCGAACCTACTTTTTTCGCCGAAACTAGCGATTCACGGTGAAATGAGTATCAAGATCATACCTAAGTTTTAAAATTTTTATTCACAATTTACATTTTTTGCATTGAAAGATTCAAAAGGCCTTACTCACTAAAACCCCCGCAACTCCGGTTGTGTCGATTTTGATTAAGTTGATCTGTGTATGTTAAGAACTGTACAAAAAATGTATACAGTAAGACCGTAGATTACCAACGAGGGTGCCAACTTTGAATGTGCTCGTAGAAAAAATGCAAGAAAAGATCAACTATACGGGTGGAAGCAAGGAATTGTTGAAACTTTTTGATATAAAAAGTATCATGATAAACGTAGGTTGTTAATGGAAAGAAGTTACTGCGTAGCATGGTGTTCTCGGTATTTAAGAAACTTAAGAGACCTGTTATATACTTGGATGAGACCTATATCCACCCATCGTATGGAGTGAGTAAATGCTGGCAATCCGATGAAGCATCGGGAGTTTATCAATCCAATAGGGATGGTCAGAGGTACATCATAGATCATGCTGGTGGTCGTTCTGGTTTTGTAGAAGTTGGTTTGTTGTTGGTCAAGTAACGATAGTGATTGAAAAAAGTTAATAATACGAACAAGGGTTGTCAACCTCTGTACTGTAACAAATTGTTATAAAGAGTTACGCATTTTGGGTATTTTCTATTTAAATTTTCTATCTGGATCCTCCCGTCAAGAGCGTCCCCATTTATTTCTTTTTTCTAAACTCGGACTGTTGTGTCTTTTGGCTTTTTGCTGGAATTTATAAGAGTTTCTATTCCGCGATGAAGCACTACACTTACATCATTATTTAAGTCTTTTTCACAAATGAAATACTTTTTTATGCTTTCTGGTTCCATATTGAACGCTCAATCACCGAAAACGCACTGGAAAAAAGGAAAAACAAAACTAATGGCCATTGCACCGACAAATAAAAGCTGAGCTTAGCTTAAGCGTTGCTTAAAATCCACAAAAACGATTATTGAGACAATGGGTCGTATGAATAAAAGTAAGCAAATGCTTATACTTGCAAAATTCAAAGTAAATACTCGTAAGTGCTCCTTCGCACGGGGCGACTTAGCAGCCCTTCTAAGCAGAAGGACAGGACGCAGTGCAGCGCTGCTAAACCATCCTAAACAGACCAGTATGAAGGGGCAGTTACGAGTATTTACTTTGAATTTTGCAAGTATAAGCATTTGCTTACTTTTATTCATACGACCCATTGGTTGGCATGGATTTTAAAGCTACCCTTAAGCTAAGTTCGGTGCAAACGGCCATAAGCAGGGCTGCAGTCGTAAAATTAGCAGAGGATATACTGTGCACGCATCGAAATGATCAGAAGGTTTACTCTATAAAAACGGCTGTATAATTTATCGTGTGGTATTTGTAGGTATTTGCTGCAATTGCATTTTGGGGTGCCACAAAAATGAGATTTTTGTGATATACATTTTGTTCTATTTATTAATGTGTACATTCTATCTTTCTTTTTCTAAGAAGGCATACGCTAATCCTTCGAACACAACCAGAAGGTATACGCCGTATACCCTCGACTGCAGCCCTGGCCATAAGTATTCCAAAAGCTGGACAGCAGGACGTTATGTTCTATCAACAGGAAAATCCGACAGCAAAATTTGATGGCAATTCGCGAAAAACAAAAAATTTTTGGCTACGTTCCAAAACCACGTATCCTGGTTGAACTGTTCGATGGAGATACATATGGTTTTGAAATGTAGCAAAAAAGTTGGTTCTCTTTCGTTAAATGCTGCCCAATTATGCATTTGAATAACGAGTGCCGAGTTTCTGACGAAACAGCCAATAAGGATATAAAAAATCAAAAAACCACACTAAAAGAAGCAATCTTACGTCGATGATTTGGGATTTGGGATTCAATTGGATGTTCTTCAAAAGTTCCTCACATTCGGAGAGCTTACTGCTCGTGAATGACGTTAGTTCGGTTTTTTGCGCGCGAAATTTTGAAAATTGCGAAATGTCATTTTTAATCCGAATTTCGTCGCACTGTAGTGGCGTTAGTTTTTATCCGATTTTCATCAACAAGGGCTCATCTCGAAAGAAATTTTATGTACTTTAATTTATTACTAATGTTTCTTCGCCAAAAAACCGATACCAAAGGAGTTATTTCGCGTTTTGTCGAAAAAAGATGGCGGCTCCGCGTCATCCGGATTTTTGTGCAAATGTCAAATTCGGATTCAGCGACCCCAAAAACATAAACCCTGCATCATGGTTCTTTGTCTCAGAAATTTGCAAGGTCAAACCCTCTGGGGCCTGGACTATAAAACGTGCCTGGAACTTGAACCCTAAAAGAAATCAAAGGTAACCCCTCTTCTTTGGTGATAAAATTTACCTCCCTCATAAATAAGAGGGCTAATCGTAGATGAAGCCACGATTGTCGATGGAAATTACACTACAACAAATTACAGCCGAAACATCTAAATGGTAAACGCACTAGGAGCACAGGCAAATCCCGTCCAAACTAAACACTTCGAAATTCCCACATTATGAATTCAATCGCCAGAGATCAATATACATTCGGAAGATGGCAATTAGAAATCCATGCGTTTTACCTGACGCTTTCAGCTGATTTTTTAATCGAAGTGTACTTGGACACGGCTTACGAAGAAAAAGGACATGAAAATGGACACCCAAAAATCAAGGGAGAAAAAATGCACTGTCATCTCTATGCGGAAAAAGTGCGTTGTTAAATTCCATCAATAGGTGGAGCCACCCATGAAGTCGCCTTCAAACTGTTACGGAGGTTCTTCGACAAGTAGGTTTCGGTTTATTAAATAACTCTTGTAGGTTTTAATATTTACTACAAATTGTTTTAATTCAACGGCCGGTCTCAAAAATATGATATTACACCAAATAGTAAAGATATTTGATCCAATATAAAAGTTGAATTACACGCATCAATTTT